TTGACTTTGTAAAAGCTTTTTAATGGATTTATTTCAATTTCAAACCATTAATGTGTCTTAACTGGTTCTCATTTTCATTGCACATGTTGGCTATGTCTTACAAGTACAGATTTATAAGACAGAAGTATCTAATTCAGTAGATTGCATTTACAGGTTCAGATATGAACAAGATTCTCATGGCTTCTGCAATTTCAAGGATGGAGTTGACTGATGAAATGAAAGCCGACCTTGGAAAGGAAGGTTCAATAGAGGCCCTTGTGAAAATGTTCAACTCTGGTAAAATGGAAGCAAAGTTGTCTGCTCTAAATGCCATAAGGAATCTCTCTTGTTTGAAAGAGAACAATGAACGCCTCATCAATTCGGGAGTCATATCGAATCTGCTTCAGGTCCTCTTCTCCGTCACCTCCGTCCTAATGACTCTGAGAGAACCAGCTTCTGCCATACTCGCAAGCTTGGCGAAATCTGAAATCATTCTTCAGAGGAAAGATACAGCTCAGCAGATGCTCTCACTTCTTAATCTATCCAGTCCAGAGATCCAATTACACCTTCTAAATGCTCTGAATAGCATGGCTGGCCATTCCGGAGCTAAAAGAATAAGAGCTAAAATGAAAGAAAATGGAGCAATGCAGCTACTCGTGCCTTTCCTGTTCAACACCAATGATGAAATCAGGATTGCTGCCTTGATCTTGCTGTTTAATCTATCCACATATTTTGCAGATGAGTTGAGTGGGCAGTCAGGAGAGAACTATCTCATTGTTATGGTAGACATAATCTCAAAGGCATCATCTGAGATGGAAAAGGCTGCTGCTTTAGGCATTATCAGCAACACCCCTGTGAGCGACAAGAAGGCAACTCAACTTCTCATGAATGCAAATTTACTTCCTTTGCTGGTCACTTTAACTGGCACAATCATCACAGCTCCCTCAACCCCAACGAGGAAATGGTTACTGGACAGCATCGCCACTGTGATGCTTCGATTCACAGTTCCCTCGGATAAGAAATTGCAGAAAGTATCTGCATCCCAAGGAATAATTCCCTGTCTTGTGAAACTTCTGTCAGCCAATTCCATTGTTGCCAACTCCAGAGCAGCAAATTCCTTGGCTCAACTATCTCAGAATACTCTTTTCTTAAGCAAAGTAAAGTCATCAAGGTGGTTCTGCGTTCCTCCTCCTGCAGAAAAACTGTGTGGTGTGCACAAAGGCCTCTGCGTTGTCAAAAGCACATTTTGCCTTGTAAAGGCGGGAGCTTTATCTCCTCTTGTACAAATACTGGAGGGTAAGGAAAGGGAAGCTGATGAAACTGTACTTGGCGCACTCTCAACTCTGTTGCAGGATCCAATCTTTGAGAGTGGCAGTGATGTCATAGAGGAGGCATCAGGAGTGCAGGCTGTCATAAGGATTCTGGAAGTTGGGAGCTTGAAAGCTCAGGAGAAAGCAGTCTGGATGCTGGAGAGGATTTTCAGAGTTGGAGCTCACAGAAGCAAATATGGTGAAGCTGCTCAGCATCTACTCATTGAGCTTGCTCAGAAAGGAGATCCAATCCTGAAGCCAATGATTGCTAAAATATTAGCGCATCTTCAACTGTTGGAAATGCAGTCGAGCTTTTTTTGAGAATTTTTCTTAGGAAATGTGTAAAATTTGTGCAGGTCATTATTTTGTCCAAAGCATTTGTATGGGAGATTAGAATATAGGTTTGTTCATAACAAATTCTTGTTTTTTTTTGTGAGAGTGTAAAGAGAAATTTGCTTTCATGTATCGTTTATGTAATGAAAATACTCAACTTTTGAGCTGTGTAGAAGATCAATGTTTACGCAAAGCCCAAATTTGAATT